TTCTAATTATATTTAGTTTGTGCTTGATTACAAAAAGGGATATAATCTCCGAGCCAACGTCGTGTAGCGCCGTTCCGGCGCGAGAGTACTATTTCCGTCCGGCTATTTATACCTGGGGAAAGGAACGCACTGGCGAAGTCTAAAGTTTATCAAATATCGTGGGCGCATGGCTACGATCCAAGGGTGGACCTCCTCACTGATTTCAAAAATATAGCTGTTAACGTTTGCCAGGAGTGGGATAAGCACACTGAGGATATTAAAGCACGATTTCAATTTTCAAATTTTAAAGCATATATTTGGAAAATCACCTTTCACACATTGAGCTTTGAAGCAATGTTTTTTGAAAAAATGCGAATAATTGATTTACTATGGAAAATCGTGAAATATAGGGCAAGTTTGCTTTGAATGTTTAATGTTTATGAATTGTGTTGCTTTAGAAATGTATTGCGTAAAACATGTACTGCGTTTCCCTTTCCAATGAAGCTGTAAGTTTCCTAAATTACCCTGTTTAATTTAAGAAAAAAAGGTAAATGCAAAGGAGAGCAAATTAATTTGAAGACCTAACTGATATTACTCAACAATTGGAAGTAAAAACAGTTTATCGGCAAAAGCAGTTTAGTTATTAAAATGAATATTTCAAAAAAAATTTAACGAAGCGTTTCTGGTTAAATTTTACATTAAATAAAAGCTCACAAAATTCAAACAACATACCAGCAGTACATATTTCGGAAATTAATTGTTTTATAGTTAAAAGCAATAATTTTTTGACTATTTTTATCGTGTTCTACAAAAGTACAATAAAAATTTAAATTATCGTGTTGCCATGGCAACACTGTCGTAACCGCGAGCCTGCGTTCAGTGTTGATCAATTGCTTCATGCATGTTAAGTCAATGTTTGGAATATATATGCGAGGGGTTGCTGCATGCTTGTATTTCTAATTAATAGGTAAATAATAGCACGACTCAACCTCGTACCAAGGCCTTTGCGCGGTTTAGAGGCTCTGGTATGGGAAGCAAATGTCCTAGTAAACACTAGTCACGTGACTCCAAAAATATTGGACATTTCGTAATAATAGTTTTTTATTATAAATAAAACTTTTCTAGTGAGATTTGAAAGAGGGTATATATTAAAACTATGCATTCTACCGGCTTTCTTTCAAGAGATTCTGGAATAGCTAACGGTAATACTGATCAAAGATCGAGAATCAAACTGAGAGAAAACTAGTCGACTGATCTCACTGATTAGTTAATGTAACTGTAAATTCGTATCCGGCTGCTTGTGTGCGATGTTTTTAACGAATTTAATAAACATGATTGATTATTATTAATTTTTACGTATTGGGATTTTATTTTACTTTTATGCAAGGAAAAATACTCAGTATTGTGCTTGTATAAAGTGAAAGGGACACCTACGGAAACGAAATTCTTCATACTTTTAAATTTATTAAATTTGTAGTATGTTATTTATTAAATTTGTAGTATGTAGTTATTAAAGCAGAACATTTTGAGGAAATTAACTGCTCCAGTGACAGGTTGCTTTCCGTCTCTATGTAGTTTAAAAAACAGTTGTGAATGAAATTATATACAATATTACACCTCACTTTAAAATTGTCAAATGAAAAAACATCATTTGTACCACGTGACAATGTGCTTATTTACGGTATTTTACTCAAATTCATGATTTCGCAATGCAGCGTGAGAAACTATAATATCCCACGGTGGATCCACCGTGGGATCATTGCGCTATAAAAAACAGGCGGGGAAACGCGCTAATATATGACCGTGCTACATGTGATGTACATTATAGGATTGGCGCGAACGGGCTTTCTTAAAAAAAAATCAGAAAATCGCGTATAAGATGGTGTTACATGATAATGCTTATCATGTAATTTTGCATATATTAAATATTATTATACTATACTTAATCATATATTCAATAGCTTATATGCAAGAGTAAGCAAATAGTTTAAAGATTAAGATGTCCCACAACTAACGTAGCTGACATGACTCGGTTTGGCGTTGGCCGATTTGTGGTTACTGAGACTTGCTTCAACGAACTGTATTGCGTAGGGGAAATGAGTTGTAGTTTTGTAGTTTGTTCTCCTAGCAGAGCGTATAAAATCCTGAGCACAACTAGACAATTGATGCATTATTCATAAAGCGAAAGCCTGAATAAAATCGCCGTGAAGATATAGAAAATATAAGTGAAAGAAAGATTTAAAAGGATTATACAAAGGCGAAGATTTATTATAGATAAAGAATTGTCAGGAATTGAAAAGTTGTGCTCAGTCGTGAAAAGAGATAAGTTTGAACAGTATGAAGAATTATATATATTATATAAGTAAAAGTTATAGAGACGCTAATTATTGAGATTTGAGTAATATATAAGTAAGGAAATAAATATATCATTGAAAGTAATTGGTTTCACAATTATTGTTGCGGGCAAATAGAACCAAAAGCGCGGCCAAATAAATTAGTAAGGACCGGCTCGTAACAATGGCAACAAAAAATGTAAACAAGCAAACGAGAAAACAAAGGATTTAAATGCTAAGTAACTAGAAAATACATGCATGCAGAAACCCTCGCCTTGCTGACAAAACCGTTGTATTTTCCGAACATGAAGTATCTAAAGTAGTTGTCATGGTAACACGATATTTTTTTAAGAATATTCTTACAAATGAAAATCGCCTAAAAATATCACTTTTAATTACAAAATTATCAATTTCCCAAGATATATATGTTAGGTATGTAATTATACGTAATACAAGCTTCAATTCAAGGTAAAATTCAACCACAAACAATTCACAAAACGTTTTAAAGTGTTCTTTATAAAACTAAACTGCCTTTAACTATTAAAAGGCTTTATCGATAAACTTTGAGTTTGCAATAAAATGATTTCAAATTCTCGCTTGCAAATAACTTTGCTTTATTTTTTATTTAAAAAATTCAATATAATGAAAAAGGGAATCAATGTTAAAGATACACTGAAATTATATGCTGTCTTGTTTAGTTGTTTCATATACGCAAAGGCCATCGAAGAATATTTGCAAGAAATTTATCAATCATCAACTCATCAAATCAAGAAATGTTTGCTATTTCGCTGTCGTCATGCAGTCGTTACAATGCAAACTTTAAATTGGACCAATCAGTGTCCGTTATTCATGACAGTCCGCAATATTTTTGAGATCAGTGAGGATGACCACCCATCGTTGGTGACCGACGCCCGCGCTCATTGATGAACTTTAGACTCCGCTAATGCTTTCGTTTCCCCAGGTGTAAATAGCCGGGGGGAATTAGTACCCTCGCACGGCGCTTCGCGCCGCCAGCTCGGGGATTATGTTTCGTTAATTAAAAATTTGAAATATTATTTGTATAGGTAATAGCATGGTTTCGAGTGCAATTTGGATTCACATGCAGGAGTGAGTATTTCAAAGACCTCAAAATAGCACGAGTCCGAAGGACGAGTGCTATTTGAGGTCTTTGAAAAACTCACGAGTGCATATTTATCCAAATTTCACGAGAAACCATGCTATTACTTATTAATAATTTATATAAAAATGTTCGAGACATTGTTGTTTTAACTTACGTTTATAGCGGGCATTCAACTGGCAAAGTTTTCCGGGCTTTGTTATACCAATTATTCAATGCTAACAGCTTGAAAATTCCATTCAACAGTGTAAGTTTTGCTAGTCTTGTTTAAGGTAAAGGCTTTTCCATTTAAAAATAAAGATAAAAGCCATATTTTCCACGCGAAATCAACTTTTACTTTATGTAGCACGGCGTTTTTGTTTTGAAGCAATCTGTGACCGTTACTTGTTTAAACTAAACTGCTTTGAACTGATTGGTTGAATTTGTGATCACAATGTTTTTCCACCAATCAGATCAGTTTGTTACAGGTTCTTGCACTGTTGTTACAGATTTTTGCATTGCTGTTTGGGATTAAATGCACTGAAATCAACCAATCACAGTCGAGTAATATCTTTATGTATATTATTAATGATGGTAATAGAACGAATAGGAGCGCCATTAATGCCATAATCATACGAGTGATTACAAAATCAACCGACCGCATAGCGGGAGGTTGATTTGTTAATCACAAGTATGATTATGGCCAGAGGCGCCGGAATGTCGGTAATTGGGGGGGGGGGGCAGATATTCATATATTCGTGTTCTGACCAATTAATTTCTTTAAAAATCGATTGTTTTTACAGTCTGTGAACACGAATATATAAATATCTGCCCCCGCAATTATCGACATTCCGGCGCCTCTGATTATGGCATTAATAGCACGACTTAATTCGTTCTATTAGTTATTAATTATTTAACTTCTGTAATCAAACTGTTTAAGGGGATCGGAAAAAGCACAAAAATACAATTTGTTGAAATTCAATATAATTATTAAATTTTTGTTACCACAATCCTTAGTGAAATAGTACAATGTTGAATTAAATTGATCATAATCAAATTAACATATTATTAACTTCCGGGTATTATTTCCGGTATAATCACATGACAACATTGTTTGAATTTAATTATTCAACAGTCAACACACAATTGGGAAGCCATATGTTGCAAGTTTATAACATCTTCAAAATGGTGAAGTTCTTTAGTTCAGTTTAATCTGAATCTAAGTCAAATATAACCGCTCGACGTCTTTTTCTGGCAGCTGAATTATCCGTGTTCACCGTTTGGTTTCCAATATTAAAAACACAGTTGTTGTAGGCAACATTAACCGGAGCTAGTGATGAGGAAACTGTGTTTTTGCCAGACACAAGTGGGACATCGTGGTCAACACTGAGAGGAATACACAACAAACTTTCTTGGCGAAGGATAGCGTTGGATGCAGATGCAATTTGCTGTCTGAGTTGAATGGGGACAATTGATGTATTGTGTTCAGTTGGTCTAGGAGCTGTGGAAGACGATACGATCGACGGAACTGAGGTTGTTGTTCGCGAAGCTGACGCACTGTAACCACTGATGATATGAGACAGTTCTCTGCGTTATTCCTCGCTGATTACGTCGTAATCATTTAGATATGCCTCTGATGCATGACCGGTAATTTCCTTGATCTTATACCGTGGTTGTCCAGCAGATTTCAGCTTTTGTATAACTGTTTTTCTCCTGCTGTGATTTGTCAACTTTTTCGCTGTTGAGCTCTCGAGCGACGCAGTCATTCTTGGCATTACTTTGCCAATTGTGTTCTGGCCCATTCGTACCTTGGTATACCAAACATCGTCATTTTTTGGACGTTGGATTATTGTCAGATACAGAGGGCCTTGGTTTCGCATCGGCTGAGGGCGTTTGGAGAGCCACAACTTGAAAAGCTTTACTGGGTCTCGAGGGCCGCCATCAGTGCTCCACATAACTTGCCTCGTGGTTCTTTTTGCGACTCGAAGGCCTCCGCTTTGTGTTTTGGTGGAATTTTCATTGAATACAATAGATTCCAAGCCATCGTCGTGCTCACGAAGGATAAACTCTTCCACATATGCGTCGCAGTAGTCCTGTCGTCCTCGCAAACCCATTTGCTCCGAAAGACACTTGACATTGGCATTTGTCAACGCGACTGGCGAATGATTTCCGAGTGAACCGTTTTCCCACAGCAATTCCTCTTCGCTGTGGTTGAGTTTTTCTGTTTTGTTGGGACGTTTACCCATGCCTTGCTGTCGGAGACGTGTTGCTTTAGCATTGAGTTTCTTCATAGACTGATGAAATTGACTTGAAGAAATGATACGCGAAGTCTTTCTGGCTCCTAGTCCGCTCCATTCACCTCTTTAACCTCGCCATAAAATTTGCTGAGAAGCTTATCCAATTGTTCATAAGGAAAAAGTTCAATTGGCTGACTTATTCCTTTAGCTGAACACCAATTTGACCGGACATTCATCCAGGTGTTTGTTGACCGCACCGTGATTACTTAAACGTTTGAGTTTTTAATCTCTTCAATGTCGTTTTCGGTTAAATTAGGGAACCTGGTGGTGTCTGGTTCGATGTCTTCTGCTCGAAGAACAGGTTGGTCATTTTCGTCAGAAAATATATGACTTAAAATGTCAAAAATTTAAGAATTTGTGAATTCCTCCATTTTCAATTTTTTTACCGAAATAAAGAAAATTAAATTCAAAGTTTGTATTCTGAATGCTGATTGACTAGTTGTAAATACTAGAATGATTGTCATTGGCTGTAGACAAAGGTACGATTACAGCTAAGAAAAGGTGCGATTAATGCGCAAATCGCACTCCAGTAAACCAATGAAATTGCAGTATTTGCCACTGACTACAGAAGATAAATAATTAAATAAGTTATATCACATGTAATAGCTTGTGTTGTTTGTTACTGAACACTCGTTGAAAGAAAATATCAGGGCAAAAATTTTACTCGAAATATAAAAATATTTGCAAAATTTAAAGCGCGGACGTATTTAAATAGTGTTTTCTCCTCGTTGAGATAGGTTGAGATAAATTTGAACACACCAAACTATAGACAATTAAAGTGTCTATGTCACTGGTGGGATCTTTGTGGATTTGAAAAGAACGTAAAAGTTAGTTGATAAGTGCAAAAGATTTTTTGATTTAGTGCAACCATTTTGAAGATACAGGCCTCTAAACGACCTACAGTTCCTGAGTTCCAAGCTCTTGCTGGTGTCTAAACACGGCTATTGAATTTGGACATTTTCGAAACTGTCCATTGTGCATAGGAGCCTGGGACTCAGGAACTGTAGCTGGTTGAGAAGCTTGTATCTTCGAAATTATTGCACTAAATCAATGAAATCTTTTGAACTTATCAACTAACCTTTTACGCTCTTTTCGAATCCATAAAGGTCCCACAAGTGATATTGGCACTTTAACTCTTTCTCGACAACCTGTCTCGTATTACTTTTCGAATTCAATTTTTCTAATATAAATATCTCGGCGAGTATTTACCCCCCCTTTTAAATAAATGCCACCATTGAAATCCTCACAATATAACCTTTCGAACGGGGGGTCAAGTGCCGTCAAAACATTACACAAACCGAAACAATCATATAATATACTCACCGCTTCGCCAAACATTCAAAGGAGAAAATGAGAAAAAGTTGAATATATTCTAAACTTTGGTGTCATTTCCTGAAAGGATATGTGTAAAATACTCTTTGTATTCAAGCGCTTTCGTGTAGAAAGTTTCGTATGTATACGCCGACTAGAAAGATTTATTTTGAATTTTTAAAGTATCGGGTTTTACTCGCACGCGCTTGTATTACGTAATACTTGGCCAATAAGGAGCTCCCTTTAGCCGGGATGACGTAAAACTCACGCGTATGGGTGCACTTTGACCTGTAGAACCATTTCTGGCATTTCCAGAGTCACGCAATGCAAGCGTAGCATTGTTTTGACGGTTTTTCGTCGTATTTCCGGTTGGGATTAACGCTTATTCGGAGCAGAAATACAAAATTCGGCACTAAATGTCGAATTTTAAAGATAGAAGCTTGAAAATAACACTATACGTGTTATTTTCAACTTCTAAATCCACCAAGACGATCAGAATGAGCATACGTCTCAATGGAACGAAGTTATATTCGGCGAAAGGTATGTTTATGTTTATAATTTGTCAGTAATATTGCGTAATTTGACCATATACGAGCTCGTTTGACTTTCAAAGCTCATAAATCGCTATAATGTTGCCATTCACTAAATCTATCGATAGGAATGAGTTGCTATCGTTACACTGAATCGAATGGTGGTATTTTGGTCCACGTAGCATTTACCGAATGTCTCAAGTAAAATTGACGGGGCTTTTTTGTGCTTTTTTCATAAAACGGAGATATCTTGCAGCCTTTATAGTTTTCCGCATACTCCACACGACAATATAGATTCGCGACTACTATACTTATTTATGCAGATATTACGATATTTAAACAACACAAATTTTCAATTATCATTTGAACGAAATCACTTCCTGCCTCAAATACATACTATAAACGTCTAGTGAAGTATCTAGTATCAGCTTATATAGATAAAATTGGTATCTATTTCACATGCAAAATGAACGAAGCGATTGTTAAGGAAAAGACATGCATTTTGAACTCGATTTTGACGACATTTTTTCTTTTTTGTCAAAGCGCGGACGTATTTAAATAGTGTTTTCTCCTCGTTGAGATAGTTTGAGATAAATTTAAACACGCCACGCTATACTCATTTAATTTGGCTCTATGTCTCGCGTAAAATTGAACGGTGCTTTTTTGTGCTTTTTTCATAAAATGGAGATATATTTCAGCTTTTATAGTTTTCCGTAAGTATAGTTTCACTGTAATGTCAACGACTGCAGTCGCACGAAAAAAGATTCACGCCGAATATTTTTGGAGTGTCGGCGGCAGTTATATACCAATAAAAGAAATCAAATCAATAAGTAAAAAATACTTTAGAATGAACTTTCAATGGATTCCGAGCAAGCAGGCTGGTTAACACAAAAACGGTTATATATTAAAGTTTTGAAATTGTCGAGCAAATTGTAGTTGTTTTTTTCAAATTCTATAGTTGTTTTAAATTTATGCATGGTCAATTTTGGGCAATATGATCATTGAAAAATAGTACCCAAGCACTGTCAGAATATTCTTACTGTGAACTTGTTTATCCTACCTTTGCATTATGAAGTAAAATATCCCATTTCATACCAAAATTTTAGTATTTGGAATATGCCCACATGCGATCAGCTCGATTCCTTTTCAAATTTTTATTTCATTCATGATGAATCTTCAAAGCCCTTTTTCCTTCATCAGATAAACAGAAAATGAATCCAACAATGTCTTCAAACCATCAAGCTGTTTAGGAATGTGCAGAAAACTTTTTTACTTTAGTTTTTTGACATTATAAATTAATGTACACCGGGGGTAAACACATCACACAAAGATCAGGAGCCCTGTGACGTGAAGTCAGTCACGTCATGAACATTGTTACTTCAAGACATTACGTCATTATGCTGATTCATGCTTCTGCTATATTTATCGTCTATCTAGTATATAAAAAATAATATTTATGTAATGTGCCATAAATATCTTTCTCAATAATAGGATTGCCTGAAACTAAAATAAAGACTGACAAGGATTGTTTAGTTAACGTTGATTTAAAAGGATATAACTTTGTGTCAAACCTACTCCTACACATGCTGGCGGTGTGGGCTTTTATATAATGGAAACCATAAATTATAGTATTAGAGATGACCTAGGCGTATCAAAAGATGAATTTCAAGGCTTGTGGGTTGATATTGAAATACTAAATCAAAAAATAACTTGCGGTGTTTTGTATAGGCATCCTAGAGTCAATTTAGAAGCATTCACAAACTACCTATACTCATGTCTCGACAAAATTCAGCAAGAAAATAAAACTTGTGTCATCCTGGGCGATTTTAACATAAATCTTCTCAACTATTCTGCCCATACTCCGACTGAGGATTTTGTTAACACTTTGAGCTCTTATTTTTATACTCCACATATTCATAAACCCACACGAATAACAAATCACACAGCAACACTTATTGACAATATATTTTTAAATTCTATTAAGTATCATACTATAAGCGGCAATATATATTTCTGATATATCTGATCATCTTCCCAACTTTCTTATTATTAATCAACTAAATGCATTGCCAAAAAATTTCAAAATTTATAAAAGAGATTATTCAAATTTAGACGAGACCGCTATAATTGATGAAATACAGTCTGTTAATTAGGAAACTATTTTTCCTCATGACTGTGATGTTAATATTATTTTTGACAGATTTTATTCTACAATTGCAGATATTATAGACAAGCATGTCCCAGTTAGGAAGCTTAGCAAAAAAACAAATTAAGTTTGATTCTAAACCTTGGATTACACCTGGTATTAAGATTTCTATTAAAACTAAGAATAAGTTATTTAAAAAATACCTAAATAATAAAAGCCCTGATTACAGCCATAATTATAAATTATACAGAAGTAAATTAACTGATCTATTAAGAGTTAGTAAGGAGAAATATTTTAATAGTTATTTTATAAAACATAGTAAAGATGTTAAAGCTATTTGCAGAGGCATAAAAGACTTAATTACACTCAAACCACCCCCTAAATTGATTAGAAACAGTAGAGAAATTGTATATGCTCAAGAAATTGCCAAAACATTTAATGAATATTTTTCTAATATAGTTAATCGCCTTGCTAGTTCAATTCCAAGTACAAATGTCCCACCATTAAGTTACATGAACCCTCCACAAACTTCTAGTTTCTTCCTCAGTGCCGTTACAAGATACGAGATAGAACAGGAAATTATCAAACTAAATCCTACAAAAGCTAGCGGGCCATTCAGTATACCAATTAAATTAATTAAAATACGTAATACATACTTATCAAAACCATTAGAAGTACTCTTTAATCATTCATTTGTAACTGGACTAGTGCCTGAAAGCTTCAAGTCAGCACGTATGATTCCTATATTTAAAAAAGGTTCTCAAACTTGTGTCAACAATCATTGTCCAATCTCCCTTTATCAATTTTTAATAAATTATTAGCTATATATTTTATTAACTATATTGAAAGAAGAGAAATTCTTTATAAGGGACAATTTGGATTCATTTTAAAGCACTCTACAGTACAAGCAGTCATCTCGATTACCGATAAAATCCAAAGAGCAATTGAGGATGGTTTGTTTTCTTGTGGAATTTTTTTGGATCTAAGTAAAGCTTTTGATACTGTCA